GAACAAACAAACAAACATCTGACACTTTTCTGACAGGATAAACACAAATTCCAAAAAAACACTGATCAGAACAAGGGAGAGGTACTAACTTAGGGCTACTTGTATTAAAATATGATTGCAAGGGAAGCAGGGAAAGAAACAGAGTTACAAAAATAATTTCAAAGTGATGCAAAACCATTCAATGAGACCCTCAAAATTTACACTGGGCTAAAAAGAAAAGAAAAAAAAATGCATAAAGCATTGTTTTAAAGGAGATGGCTGAACCTGTCTATGCTTTCTTAAGGCTGCATTATCTATGCCAATTAAAATTTTGCTTCTGAAAAAGAGTTAAGGCACTTCCTCTAGAGTTACTAAAAAAAGCAAATGAAAGCCTTGCCTTCGCAGAGGTGAGTGATAGTGAGCCGTTTGTTCTTGACCTCTGGATCACCCTACAGATCAAATTCTTGGACATAGGAAAAACCCACTAGTATTCATTAAAAGCAACTGGGAGGCCAGCTTTGTGCTTCTGTTCTTGAGACCTGAACAAGCTACAACTTGACAAATGTGCAGGATACCGCTGAACAATGCTGCGGTTCCTGTCAGAAGGGAAGAGCTTTATTCCCAGCTTCGTTCAGAATTAATTGATTTTCATTACAATGATGCAAATCACAGATTTCAGTCATTATTTAAATAATCAATTTTCATCTTGTATGTTTTGCTTTTCATAGTTATTTCCATAAAGCTGATGCTGTTAACCATTAAAACGCATTGATTTATATCAAATTAGCTTTTATATTAATTTTTCATATTTTCTTCCCTTAAAAAGATTCATCTATCTATACTTATCTAAACAGATATATATGCTGAAAGGTTTCGGTCTTCAGTTTTACTTTTCATTTTGCTAGATATGGATGGAATTTGCCCATATATTTTAATAGCTAAAAATAATGTAAATGATTGCTCTATTAAATTATTTTATACTTACAGCTTGTGACATTTTTTGTGGAATTTTTATGGAGAACAGAATTTAAAATACATATATAAGCCTACGGCATCATTATTCATGAAATTAAGTCCCACAAATTTCTACGCAAACAAAACAAAGTTTATCAGAATACTTTTTCATTTCAACCTTTTTTGTCTTTCAAACAAACCAAAAAAGCTACCTGTAGAGCTGAACAGCAAACAAAATAAACCAGAGAAAAATATTCTCCCCGAACAATTCTTTCTGTCAAAGTGTGGTTTAAAGAATTTCTGGCTCCAGTTAACTGCAGTCCTCTGGTGGTTTGAATGCTTTTAAAGCTTCATTAGAAAACAGACATTGCTAGAATATTTGTGTTCAAACATCTATAGCATGCTGCAGTAAATTCAGTCCTTAGCATGGACGAACAATTTCAAATATAATTCAAAAAAATATGTGTTTTAAAATAACAACATTTGAATTTAAATAAAACTTACACATATTAACATACATATTCAGTATCCAAAGCCACAGTGAAAACAGACTGTCTCTCCTTACGCTGTTACATATACATCAGTGTGAGTTATCCTTACGTATACTTCACAAAGGGAGTTTTAATATTTAAAAATTTGTATCGCTATTACTGTTCGAGGTTGGGTTTTTTTGTCCCGATCAGTAAGTGGCCTCAATCTCAAATTTCTAAAGGAGAAAAATCCTTCCATTGAAATCTTCTGGAGTTTTGACTGCATAAAGTATGAACTATCAATTATTTTCTCACCAAACAAGTCGGGTTCACAGGTCAAAGCCAGAAGGAAGAGAAAGAAGTGAAATATTTTTGTGGATTGTTATCTATAGAGCAAATGGAAAATCTTCAGCCATTTTGCTCCTTCAAGGTACATCAAAGAATCTCCTATTTAAGGTGTGAAAATGTCAGTTACATTCTCCACCTCCGAAAACTAGCAGAGCTCAGAGCGTGATTCATGTCCCACCCTCGCTCTTTTCTCTTTTAGGGGCTGATACTCCGTTTTCAACTCCCCTCCAGCTAATGCCATTTAATACTCTCAGAACCATCAGGCTAAATTCAAATTTTCTGCTCCTTAGAGGCTGTTGATATGCACCACCGCACATTCCAATTGCAAATACACATGAATGCTCCCGCGTATTGTAAGTTATTTTCTACATACAAATTCTACTAAATTGTAAGTTAGGAGGCACTACTTGAATTCTCTTAGGTCTTTAGAAAGCTTTCAGATGTACCATGAGTAATAACATGTAATGAATATGGACTGATATTTCTTTTCTGTAGTTACACTGAGTTGGCAATTTAAATTTTCTAAATAGATAGATGACTTATAGCCAGTTTTCCCAGTCTTCTGGCAATTACTTCTTAGAAACCCCTGACAGGCTGAAACCTCCAGAATCACAGCTGTTATTCTTGGTTTGATCCCTCTTTTTAAATTAAAACCAGTAGCTTTATCAGCAAATGAGAATTTTTTTTCCCTCTGGAAATACTTACAAAAATGCACATAAATTGAACATGCCAACTTATCTCATTTTAGGGTTGGCGCATCTTCTGGGTTAATGACCAGTGTTCCACTTGTGTGACAGAACTAATTGGGGTAAGGAGGCCATAAATACATACAAACCCCCCACAAATTCTCTTCCTTTGGGGTAATCTGAAGATTTATAGTAGTAGAGTGAGATGTGATTGGAGGGGAAGGAGAAAACAAATTAAGAAGTGCTAACAGGCTTGCCTGACCATTCTGTCTCAGTTTCCAGACACAGAAGAGATTTGGAACAGATTTTTCCAGTGTCTGATGTGCCTTTTCCTTCCTCTCAGACCCACTAAAATGTAGGAAACTAGCTGAAATTTCCTATTTTCCAGGAACTGTCATTATTATTTAAAAAAAAAGAGAAAAGGGAAAGAAGACATGGTATCTCTGTCCTCCAAACACAGACTAACTGATCTAAAGAGCTGTATTCAAAATGATAGCCTGAACTCCACATCAACAGTTGCTCAAAACACGCTTTGACAACAGTTTTCCACGGTTGAACACAAATGAAACATCCTTCAACAGAGAAGTCTGCACTTGATTGGAGCTCAGCATGCCTTTCTAGAAATCTAGCTTTATTTCCCATTGATCACTTAATTGGAAAGATCCAGTTATTGATGGATTAGAGGAAGGAATAATTTGGATTTATGTTCCATGACTAGGTCAGAATACATATGCCATCTACTTGTTATGGTTAAAACAACTCGGGTCCTTTATGCAGCATCCCTTAAAATTTGAGAACAAACATTCTAAACCCATGTGTACACCCGCAAAATGAAAGAACTTCTAAATGCAACTCGATACAAAAGGGTAACATGGTGTCATTATGGATTCCTGAAGCAAAAGAAGGGAAAAAAGATCACTACATTTTGGCAGTAGATGTAAATGCAAAGGCATATCATGTGGTTCTCCATTTTAGAATACAAGCTCTCTCTTCCCCAGACTTGGATTCTACGTTCTCCAGATTTCTCCATCAGCTCTGTAGGAAGCAGAGTTCAAGAAAATCTGCCCCAAATAAATCTGAAAGGTGCCTACACTTTGTAATCGTTGGCTGCCTGCAGAATACAAACCCTCTAAGACATACACATGACAGAAGCTGAATACAATCTCAATCTTCGCAGCTAAACTTCCAGCTCACACAGCTGCTCACCTTGCAGCAAGTCTCAAATCCACCTCACACTACCCAAGGCCTTATGTCCCACACCTTCTTCTGGGTGCTATATGCTGCTAATATTAAAAAAAAAAAATTACTTTTAAGTGTCATTAAGAGATGATTTCTAACCTGATTTAAGATCGTCTTTCACAATTAGCTATACTGCAAGATTTGGAGTTTTTATTTTTTCATTTTTAGCTAAGCAATGTCAGGCTGCTTGAAATTACTAGCTAAAGGCTATGACTTAAATTTAAAAGAAAATTGTATTTTAAGTCAAGAAAGTGATATACAGACCTAGATCACAGTTTTCTAGCCAGCACTAATGTACACAATATGACCAAAAAAAAGCACCATCAGAAGCATCAATATGTGGTGTTATACAAATCACCAAGGCCTATGGACCAAGTGAACAGTCACCAGAGGTGAGATGAAGGGGAAAACTTCTAATATCTGTATAGACTGGCCCCATTCTTTGGTTCAACCCCTAACATTCACCCCCATCCTCCTCTACTTTCACCTCTAAAGCATGCCTGACATCAAAAACGTAAGTTATAAGCTTATAATAAACCCTCCTTATAGGTGTGCATAAAGTAGCATCTAAGTACTTCAGCTGAAAATTGAGAGCACCAAGTAGCATAATGATTATCACCATCACTGAAGTTCAGGTTTCTGGTAGAGCCTGAAAGGACTGTGGCTGCTGTCAGCAGGAGAATTGAAAACAAGTGCTACCCAAGACTCCACACAGAGGTATCAGGCATCACAGTTAAACACCGTGTCCAAAAAACGAGGAAGAGTCTCCTAAGTACAAAACTGGACAGCAATTTTTCCTGCATATGCTTTGCACAGGGGTGGAATGAGATCAAAACTGGCTTGAAATTTCGTTATCACAAATGTACAAGCAAAAGAAAACAAATGCCTCGAACTGATCAGAAATAAAGCACCTGCTGCCTTGCACCTTGTGCTGTGTGGGTGTTAAATGCTACCATGCTAATCTATTAGCACAGCACACACAAATACCTGAACAGCACAGGATATAGCATACTAAGATGTTACTGCAGTTAATCCACAAACACAGAGTGGATATTGAGTCCACAATTTTTTTTAAGTGCATCCAGAAGGCAGAATAGAAATAATTACAATTCCTTTTGTCTTACTTCACACACACGGCTAAATACAGCCTATTTATCCACCAAATAAAAATGTGGCGATTGTTTCAGGGTGGCAGTTCTTTACAGCTATATTCGATAGTGTCTGCAGAGCAATGCAACAAAGCAGCTTCATGCATTTTCAACAGGAACGATTCCTGCTGTGGTTTAAGTAATAAACAGCAAAGAAAGTTTAAATTGAGACTTACCATGGGGCACCGTATATTCGGAATCCTTTAACTGTTACCTCTGAATCTTGTAAGTAAATACTATTTGTCAGGAGTGACTGAACATTGTCAAAGTCCTCTGGTTTCAATTTGGACACAGAGGGAAAGCGGTAGTAATCTTGTTTAACAAGGTCTGCCATGAATTCCTTATCAAATGTCAGTTCATGATTCCCAGCAATCACTATTTTATATTCATACGGTAGGTTTCCTGAAATAACAAAAAAAGAGGACTTAATTAGCACATTTTCCTCCCACACCAGCATTGTCGGCACAATAAGTAGACAGCTAGCAGTGACAGAATATAATACCCAAGATCTCTGTGCATCTCCATGTTGAGCAGAAGTTATTAATGCTGCTTCTCTTCCACTGAATGGAACTGTGTTAAAACGGAAAGTAACGTCACACAAAGCAATGTCATAATAAAAAGCGCGTACTGCAGAGTTAAACAAAACAAGCTGGTAGGCACCAAACCACCTCCCAAGGTGGCCTAAACCACCACCGCTCCCTTGCTTTGGACTGAGGACACGATTGATTTGGACTAGCCTAAAACGTGACACTGAGTTCTACCCATTCAATTCATTTGACTGGACCAGAGTCAGCAGTCGTGAGTTCCAATCCACAGGCGTGACCTGCAGTGAGATACCTTGGGTGTCAGGGGGTAGGCCAGAGACTGCAGTATGCCTCACAACCGTGTTGTGAGTACCTGGCACGGGTACTTTTTAAGTTATGTCATTACTGGGATTAATTTGTGTGCAGGTGGCATTTATTCCAGACCTAAACTGTTGTCCAAAGCTTCAATTCACTTGCAATGGACTTTATTATTATTCTTCAGTTTATGGTAGAGTCTCATTTCTGTAAGTAGTATACATGTAGAAGAAACCATGAAATTTGGACAAATAAGATATAAGGTAGGAAAAAGGACATATGGTTAATTCATTTACTGTGAGGGTCAGAGATAAAGAATACAGGGTTGATCATCCCAGTTCAGGGCAACTATTCCTATTGTTTGGAAGGAAACATGGATCAGGCCCACAGACCCAGATTTGTGGGTTTGAGAGACAGATTTTCAAGCACTTGGTACCAACAATCAGCGCCAGATCTTCCAAATAAACATACTAGGTGCTGAGCTCCCTTAAAAATATGGTCCCAAACTGTGGTGTCTTCACATAAGTTAGGTTCTTTTACAAAGTCTGTCCCACTGCGATTTGCCGAAAATCACACGCAGGTTTGCATCAAAGCTAACTTTTACTGTCTCCATCATAAGCCTGATTTCCTAGTCTTACACCGAATCATTAATTTTGGTGTTTATTCCTAACAAACATTTAAAAAAGGTTGGGGTTTTGTTTGAGGTTTTTTTTGGTTTTTTTTTTTAAATAAAGGCAGTAAAATGCACATGGAAATTTATGGTCCCATCTTCCAGTTCTGGTCCTTCCAACATCTGCTCCGAGGAACACAGAACTGAATGTCATGTATTTCTCAAGAATAAGAGTTCTAAATAGATGTGGCTTTGTTAGTTTAAAACTCATCTTTCAACTTTCAAAACTGTTTGGTTTTGTGGGTTTTTTTTTAAAAAACTAAGTTTCAAAGTAAAGCTATAAGTATTTACAACAAGATTAACTTTCCCCTAAATAAGACATATGGGGAACCAGTCAAAACTCTCTGCTTTTCAATATTTACAGCACGGAAACAGGAATTGCACAAGATATGTATATAAACACCATCTTTGCAAAATTAGTTAATTCTGGATATAAAACCAAAAAGCTACAAACCCCCTGAAAAAAACAAGCAGACATCTTCATAGACACCTCACATCTGAACAAAATACAGACCATACCATACATATTCATAACTCTCTGTGGTGCTGCATTAGATTAAAAGCTGGGGGAGATGCAATAAATGCTCCTTTACAGTTTACGCTTCACTCCGTCCCCTCTTCCCTCCCCTTCCCCATCTCTGTTACGTGCTGCTCTGCAATTCATTTTTATTTAAAAACTCCATGTGGCAGGTACCTACAATTCCTGCTCTCTGTGACTCCCGGGCACAAGGTAAAATTGCTATTTTCTCCTCTCGCAGGAAACATAAAAGATACCACCGGCATGAAATTTGATACACTTGTCATAACTATCAATCCCCCAAAACAAGCTAGATGTGATAAAATTCTCAGAGAAGTAGGATGGAGAAGTTAAATTCAGGCTTCTGCCAAGTTATCAACATTTGCCAGTTTTAGCAGAGAAAACTTCTCATCTTACCGGATGAATGTCCAAGTTTTACACTTTTTCCCATTTATTTTGATAGACTTGAAAATAAGCACTATTTTGCTGATATTATGTTCAATTAAGTCTGGAACATTTTTGCTTGAAGTGAGTGGATTTTTATCTTGACACCTTAAAAAAAGAGGGCTTACTCTGAAGACACGCAGGACATGAAAACACAAACCAATGGTGGCATCAGTGGTTATTAAAAAAATACAAAGGTAACGCTATACATGTCACATAAGCACCTGAAATCAGTAGAGAAAACCAAACACTATTTACTGCAGTTGGTGTCGACAGCTGTTGATTTTATTGAGTAAGGGGAGGCCTTGCTTGGTCCATTCTTGAGAGCCAGAAGGCACCAGGGAGCAGGGGGGCCTGGGACCAAACAGCCTCAGGACACGGCCCCACCACGACCAACACCAGGACTGAGGTATAAGGCAAAACAGACCCCGGAGGAGAAACCCCCCCATGGACCAAAGCTTGTCCACATCTACTAATAAGCTCTAGCTCCACGGGACTGCACACCCACAGCCCGTGAGCGGGAGAGTAACCAGCGCTGGCTGGGGATGGCACGGCCGCAGCCCCGCGTCCCCCATCCAGCAAGGCGTGAGATGAGCTTCCATCTGTACGTACTTTGGTATTTACCACAGGGTGGGCACCCAGGCCTGACCAGGCTCCCCACCTAGTTCCCCAACGTTATAATCAGGCACATTTTGTTTTCCTTTTCCGGAGCTGGCTCAGGAGCTAGTGATGAGCAACACCGCTCATTGAAACGCAAACACATCAAAAGCCAGGCCCAAGCAAAGGGGAGTAGCAAGAGGAAGTCTCATCCATTTCTTTCCTCCTCCCAGAGGAAAGACTATATAGCACTAATCACAGTAATAAATTACCTGCAATCAGATTAGCTATTTATTCATTGCATTCAGGTTTTCCCTTCCTGAAAAGCCCTGTGGCAATGCATAACATTCATACTCTCTGATATAATTTCCGAAATATTCTGGCGTGTTTTCTTTTGGCAGTCCTGCCCTTTGTCTATAATCTGCTGACCTTCTGTGTTTAATATGGAAGCATAAACAGTCAGACACAGTATCTCCTAGTCCATGGTATTTTAGTTTCATCTTGGCCGGATTAATCTCTGCATATCTACATCTGTGCTGTCTGTACAGAGAGAGACACTGTAGCACAATACACAGGTTGAAAGGCATTTCCTCATTTTCCTTCACTAAATTTTTGTTAGCTACATTTGGTCTTTATTAGTCTAATTTCCTAACTATAAAATTTTCCATCATGCATCAGTAATATTATTCATTCTAATTTATAATGTGCGTCTGGAAAACAGATAGAAGAATCGCTTTCCAAACTAGGAAAAGAGTTTGATGTGTTTGCTGGGATGAGAACTTCAGAACCCCCAATTATCAACTCCTAGGGTAATAACTGAATTTAAATTAAAAATACTTAAACGTTTAAAAGGCGAGATCAAAATCTCATAATTACAGCTACGAAAAATGATTAAGGCACCAAGCCTGTGAAGTAGTCACTTATAGTGGAGTATCTGAAATCTTCTGTGTCTCTATACACACACAGGGGGTGCACGTGAACCTTCAATATGTTTTTGTATTCTTTTGGCCAAGATGTTTTTCAACATCTGCCCTCAACAGCAGAGTAGCAAGGGCATAATGTAATAATTAAGAAATTATTGCAATTAGACAAGTCGTTCTCTTCTGGAAGACAAAAGGTCAGCATCACTCTTGCTCGGATAAACGCAAAGCTAGTTAACTGTGAATAACTTGTAAAAACTAAACTGTATATAGTAAATACATTAATCTGGGAGTCTCAGAAGATTTCTATGATTTCTCATTTAATAAATCAACCCTCAAGCGACAGACTCACGTACCTTTGTCCCCCCAAGCACTCATCCTCACTCTGCTACCATGTCTCTTTGCCAACACACAGATTTGGTGGCCACGGAGCACGGTGGATCAGGAAACTGATCCAGCTGAAAACTGATGTAACAAAAAGGAATGAGGCTCTGTTATGCTGGTAAAACAGGGCATCTTTTGCTGTCTGCAACTACTTACATCACTTTGAAGTGTTAGCTGAATAACAACCTGATTTTAAATACACCTATTACATGCCACAAGGGGGGAAGCTGGAAGGGGTGGGGCGTGGTTGGCTTTTTTTAACCCATGTAAGGAGGTGTTCCAGTGGTTTTTTAAGTATGCTTAAGTACCGGATCTTAGGAATTCTTAATCTGTTGAAGAACCGTTCCTGTTTTAACGGCGTGCCTCATACAAGTACAATTTAGTCACACAACCCAAGTTCTGTAGAGCTGCCAGACATGAAAAAGAGTCTGACTGGCAATGAATGTTAACTGCTGAGTCCCTATAAAAATAGAAAATCACATTATTTTTTGACTACTGTTACCTACAAAACCCACAGTGAAGCAAGGGAATAGGAAATAATGCGATACTAGCTGTCTGTATAGTGGTAGAAACCTGCATTTACACACAAATGTTATGCAAGTGCTTCTGATGTGAAGCCCTGAACACACATAAGCATGCATTAACTATTCAAACCACACAACACTTCCACGAAATGTGAAGTGTTTTCATGCCCATTTCAAAGCCTCATAGACCCTTTAGGCACGTGTTGAGGAATGGGCTGAGAAATCTCTAAGTACAAATCGCAGTCCCTTCAAAAAGAAGGAAACTCTGTACAAGTGAGGTGCCTGTGGCAGTGAACCATCTCCGATTTATGGTGTATCATACATGCTTCAGAAGTGCAAACCTGCTCAGGGAGCATTCATCTACAGTCAACCACATGCGTGTCTGGAGATAAACACTGAAGGACCAAATCCTGTGTCGTTCCTGTGGACTTCCAGCCCCCACAGCAGCACAGGTTGCTATCAGCTGCCTGGCCACAGACCCCCAAGCAGCACACCGATGGGCACCGG